ACCATCAAGACCCCCGGGACAAGTAGATTTTTCTTCGGGGCAAGTAACTTTTCCTTGTCACTTGTCCGACGGTCAAGGGCTTACAGAAAGTTGTTTGCCAGTTAAGTCATAAAAAGGAAAGCACAAACAAGCATTCCATTGCGCTGGGCAAGCAAAATCTGAGAGCTACTACTCCGAAGGAGGGAAAACTGGAATTCAAATATTTTTCGAGCCCTGTTAAACATAAATAACATAAGTTGTAAAAAGATTCCCCATTACCATTGCCGTCATACCTTTCTTACTTGCTGTACTTCCAGCAGATGACTTCCCACTGATGTTGGCCATGAAGTCATCCAGTGACTTAGGAACTTGCTTTTTAGGTTCATCTTTCTCTTTTTTACCCAAAAGTTCACTGAAACGAGAATTCTTTGAGGGACTGTCACTTCTGGTCTCTGTTTTAAAATGTAGAAGGAAATAATCTAAAAGTGCAGTCGAGTAAAGTTCAGATTAAGGATGATACCTACAGTACCTTGAGTACACAGACTGCTCTTTTTGACACGGGGAGGGGTGGGGTAGAATTCCATGCATGTAGGTACACTACTGCTCAGAACTAAGCGAATCAAAATTCGCATTAGTAACGCGTTCACAACCCGAAGGGGTTAACGAGCGCGCGTTTTGCTGCGTATTATAGCGCTGTAATGTAAACGCATTAGTAATTGTATGAGCTTGGTTATTGTTCGCTTCTTTTGTTACTTTGTGAAAGGAAGTTAACGACCTTTTCTTAAGGCAACATTCGGTATGAATGTCATGTGTTTTCAAGGAGTAGACAAGTTCTACTTCTTCCGTACCGGCTGTAGGCAGGCAGGCCAGTAGGCGTGTAGGCGAATCGGTCAGTTGTTCGATGGTCAGTCAGTTGGTAGGTACAACATAGGTAGGTTGGTAGGTATGTAAGTCAATCAATCAATCAATCGGTCAATCAGTCAGTTGCTCGATGGTCACTCAGTTGGCAGGTACAACGTGGTAGGTATGTAGGTCAATCTGTCAATCGGTCAATCGACTAGATGGCCAGTTGGTCGGGAGGTAGAATGCTTGTGCAATGGTCTGCGGTTTTAATTTTACTAGCACTGTTAACAAGGTCCGACAAAGTAGACGGACAGTAAAAAGAATAATTAAGTACCTGTGCCAGGCAGATCATCGTCATCACCAAAAATATCCCCAGAGGACTCTTGACTTTTCTTTCTGTTGCTAAGTTCTGGCTTTGATCTTGGGGGTGGGGTGGGTGAGTCTCTCGGAGTCTTTTCAATAGAATCATTTAGACCAGGTAGATCTTCATCTGAATCAAAATTGATCTCATCTTTGCTTGGCTTCGCTTTCCTGGCTGAAACCAATGATTGAAATAGTTAGCCAAATGTCAAACAAATTTATACCTGTCAGTCAAAAATGTATTAGACGGACACCTTCAGGACCCTTGCTAGTGTCCGCTTAATACACTCAGAGTGTCCGTTGAAAACAGGTTCCCTCAGAATTCGTCTTGAAAGGGCCATATTAGTATTCGTCAGTTTTAAAAGGCCTTGAAAGGGTCAAATAACATTCTCGTAAGTATGCAGTAACCGTATCTATATTGATCGAATTATGTGAAGTTTCACAAAATCAAACAAGCACAAAAGGTCTGTAAAAACTAAACCAAATAATAAAATACTGCATTTCTGTGACAGCTCTTTGTCGGCCAACTTAAATGGCCGATGTATTAAAACGTGGACAAAAAAACATGCATCCTTTCTGCAGTGTCCGTTTAATACAGGTTTCTAACAACAGAAATGACCATACAAGTCAAGTTTAAGGTATCCATGTTCGCTTAACAGAGGAGTCTGTTGAACAGGGGTACTTTTTACAGTACATGTGGTAAAAAAAATTGGACTTGCACTGCTGTCTGCTTAAGACAGAGTGTCCGCTTAATATGGGGTCCGCTTAATACAAGTTTGACTGTGTTAACTGAATTGAATATATCATTGAATATCTTATTGTGCAAGTGTTAGTTACCAGCTGTCTTTCCAATGCCTTTGTCTTGAGGAGATGCCTGGGAAGATCTCACATCTTCCCCCCTGCTATCTGGTGCAGCTGCTGGGGATCCAGGAGGGGAAGATACAGTTCCACTTCCATCTTTGTCCCTCCTGACGGCAAGTTGATGTTCTGGTGTTACAGGAGGTGACGGTGAATTTGCAGGCTCTGGATTGGCTGATCGACGCCCTCTTGAGGACTTTGGCCTTTCTTCAGTGGAGTCTAGAAAATGTCAAGCCATGCCCAACTAATTGTTAGCAAACTATTCTATTTATGCATGCTATACATTAACCAGCTACATGTAGACGGGTAACACACCTTGTCTGGATATCCCTGATGAGCCAGCTTTCTTGGCAGTTGTGGACTTTTTAGGTTTTGGTTTTGGATCATCATCTTCGTCCGACAAAAGACCAGCTAAGGGATCATCTTCATCAAATTCTGTAAGATACATGTACAGTGTCGTAGTTAAAGCACATTAAATACATTGGAACCGCCGCAATATTCAGCTGGTACGAAAGAATTAAAACTTGTCTACTCCTTGAAAACACATGACATTCATACCGAATGTTGCCTTAAGAAAAGGTCGTTAACTTCCTTTCACAAAGTAACAAAAGAAGCGAATAATAACCAAGCTCGCACATACTAATGCGTTCACTTTATTTAACACGCTACAACGCGAAGTCAAAACGCAGTCTAACGCAGCAAAACGCGCGCACGCGTTAACCCACTTGCGTTATTAACGCGAATTTTGGTTTGCTTAGTTCTGAGCGGTACTGTACTGTCATTTTAAGCTGTGCTAGCTCTTTTGGGAAATGCAGTCACCCACTGTAGTGGCTGCATGTAGCCAGTTTAATTCAGGAACGAGTAGTCTAGGTTCGATCTGCATCAAAACTAGTCAGCCTGCTCCCTGAACTATGTTCTTGACGAGAGACTTCACTCTCAAAGTGCAAAATAACTAATAAACAATACGTTTATTTATAAGATTTTTTAGTGTGTAGCACTGCTGTAATTTTATTGAGTCTTGCAGTATTTTAGCAAGCGCATAGCCCGCAGGATGAGTCAAAATACAAATGACAATTTAAATTGCGCTGGGATACTACACACTAAAATGTCTTATTTATATTTAAGAAATTTACTATCCAACTTTTTAATTTTCCTTTACTGAAAACAAAACTTTGAATTGTTTTTTTTGGTCATGCAAGCTCAGGAGGATTACAACAAACCTGCTTCCGAGAGTAAATACCACAGGAATATTGGTATTGAAAATATTGTTTGAACACTATGGAGGGGAGATGGACACTAATGTACATGTGTGGAATGTTATTGTGAAGTTGGATAGATGACATTCAAAACTACATCTCAGACTCATTTATAATCCATCAAGTTTAAACAAAGGAAAACATGACCGTGATGGTGTTGGGATATCTGATCAAAATTAGCATAGATTTTTACAACTTGAAATCTCCGTTTGCTCCTTAGACTTAGCTTCAATTGAGAAGATATATCAAACACTCGAGACAGTGTTTGACCACATTTCCAAACACCTCAAAGCTTTGCTGAGCATCGTATTATCGACTCTCTTCTCGGTGTTTGGAAATGTGGTCAAACACGGTCTTTCGTGTTTGATATAATTTACTTACAAAACTACAAGAAAACAGCACACTCACCTCCAAAATCAAACTTTTTTCTTGGTTTTTGTGTTTCTTTTGGTTTGGTGGCAACAGCACCAGAGTCTTGTTTGGTGTCTTTTTTCTCACCAGCTGTATATTACATTAAATAATTGTTTAACATGGCATTTAATTCTTTCTGATTTTAGAACGATCAATACTTATTACCAAATGGAGTAAATGTTCCACTAAGGTGAACAAAATAACACAAAAAACACAGTTAAATGATAATTTTCTGGTCACTGTGTATGCGTTTCTCAAACAAAGGATCAAAATTTGAGACTGAAAGTCTGCCTTCAAAAAATTCAGACCAAAGATCTGCATTAAAAATTGAAATAGAAGTTATTTGCTTCATTTTTTTAGTAACATTTTTTAACATGAGCCTTTAGCAAGGGGGATTGTGAAAACATTCCCCACATTTTTCAACTTAATATAAAGTTACTATAAATACTACTAATATTAACATTATTCTATTATAATACTATTTCTTAACTATGCCAACTGGAACCAACATACTTTTTGCAGAGGATGGAGAAGAGCTCTTTGCCCTTGTGGAGTCTACACTAGGGGGTCGTTCATTATCAGTGTTTATCTTCTTTGGTTCTGATGCATTCTTCACAGATTTTGTAGGTTTGTTGGGTGTGGCCTTCTTTCCTAGGGATCCACCAAACAGATCTGACTCCATATCATCCAAACCCTGGAGAAAATAGAATCAAATTAGGTTATGTGCACATGATTCATACATGTAGTTGAGCTTTCTTGGAAACTGGATTGTAAATTCTGAAAGAGTCACTCCCAAATTATTGTCAGTGCGAGGTATGAAGATTAAAACCTGTTAATCTCAAGATTCTTCGAGTTGCTTAATTGAGTGAAGTCACTTTTAAACAAATCAACTAGATTGTTGTGTTTTACACACTCAGAGAATCATAAATCATAAGACTCAAGTAGAAGCACATGGACATTTTCTGGTGTCATTTCTATGATCTGTAACAGTGTAGACCATGACTCAGAAAAACGTACAATGTAGTCCACTAGTTTGTTATTATTGGAAAGCTTTTTCAACTTACTGGAAATAGAAAATTCAGTCTGAAATGCATTTGCATGGCCCTTTTTATCTGCCTGAAGTTCTCTGTCTAGTCAGAAATTTTCCCTCAAATATCAAATTTCAACTGGTATCCATTTCTCAAAATAAAATTGTTTTCTGAAAGGGCATGTTACAAGAATCCTGCCAATTATTCCAGTTGAAGACTAAAATACTAAATATTATGACTCTGCATACACTGTATCACTTAAAG